GATTTGTCACTCTTTGCTGGATGTGGCTGCACAGGGACAAGCTGGGAGGTGGCAGCTCTGCCCCTATCTGGCCTAACACCCCCCATTTGCCTGCTACAGGTCCAGGTCCTACTCTACTACCTGCAGCATCCTCCCATCTCCTTCACTGAGCTGAAACGCAACACACTTTACTTCTCCACGGACGTGTAGCCTGCAGGCAGAAGGCACCAGCTGCAAACACTCCCAGCTCCCTGCTGGGGGACAGGGACTGGATCACAGCCCCCGCAGGGAGACCGGCCCGGACCCAGGACGGTGCCGCCTGCAGCTCCTGTACAATTGCGTACCAGTGGCCCGGTCCCGCCCCAGGCGCCGTGCCTCTCTGTAAAGTAGTTGTGTCTTACGTCCCTTCTTGTGTTCAAGAATTGTTTTTATGTATATTTGTTCAACGGAAGAGGTAGTGGCTGACAAGGGCTGTGGAAACAGGCTTCCCCCTTGGCTAGTTTTCTCCTGGACTCCGTTCTGCCTGCTCACTCCTACCAGGCACCCCCCATCTCGCCCAGCTCGAAGCCTGCAGCGTCCCACGAGTGCCTGTTTCGCTGCCCAGCTCCCTTGCCCCAAGCCTGCATGTGCAGCACCGACTCGCTTCAGAGGCTGGGAGCTCACGGGCTTCCCTCCCCGGCGACAGCGACGACCAGCTCTGCTTTGGCTTGCTGCCTGCGCAAATGTTGGACCCCGTGCCTGGATCCTGCTCTGGCCCGAGCAAACCTGCGACCACGAGAACAGAGGAGCGGGGTGCTGCTTCTTCCTCGCCACATCTCTTCGGGGTGCTTTCAGGCCAGTCCACTCTTACAGCCCTTATCCTGTGCTTTGCCTGCGTGCGTGTAGCATGGCGGAAACGTCCCTTGCTGTATCTCGCCTCCAAGTAGCGTTTTGGGGTAACCCATCACACAAGGCTGGAGCGAGTGGTGCTGTGCTGGTCTCAATCCACGGCAGGCTTAAGGGAAGGCCAGGTGGGCAGGTCTGCTCCCCCTGCCCCGCGTTGACCCCCAGGGCTGTGTTTTGGCACCGATGGGGTCCCATCAGGGCACGTGGATCTCACAGTTTCCCCAGGAAGCCCTGGCGGGCGGGGAACAGGGTCCCTGCCGTTTCCATATGCCTGTATCTCTGCTGGAGCGAGGTGCACACGCCCCTGCCAGCGCAGCACTGCCGCGAGGGCTGCCGACGCTGGCTGCACCCTGTGGCAGAGCTTGCCGGCGCACCAGCGTTCTGGCCACGGCCACAAGAATGGGGAGGCTTTTGCTTCCCTCCTTGGCCTTCCCCACTGCCCCGGGCACCGGGCAAATGGCAGCACATGGCCCTGCCTCGGTGCCAGCCAGGCTGCCAGAGGCAAGCGCTCTGAGCGGCAGCTGGACAGTCACCCAGCCTGGAAACCAGCGCAGAGGGACAGGAGGAGGAAAGCCTTCGTGGCCCTTGCTACGGGAGGCAGAAGTGCTTTGTTTGCTCTTTGTCACAGAGCAGTTGCTGCTAAGGTAGCCGTGCCCAGCCAGCTCAGGTCTGTCGTAGTTAGTAGCTCCAGTTCCTGACCATGGCTGGAGTTTTCATGCTGTTTCCCAAGGCAGGATGGCCGCATGCCTGCGCTCGCTGCCAGGCCGTGCTGCGGCCGCCTGAGTGCCTGGCTCCCGGTATGTCCCCCACCCTCCCACACTCACAGGTACCTGTTGGGACACGAAACCTTTCGCTCTGTGAGCTGAGTCCGTGTTCTCGTGGGAAAAGCCCCCATCCCCGATTGCGTTGGCCCGGTGCTCCCCTGTGCCAAATGGAGATGGATGAGAAGTGACCAAGCGTATCCCTGCTAACAGCGGTGTTGCCTTTACCCTCCCGACTAACAGACTGTTCCAGGTAGAGCCCGGTCGCCTGCCACCGATGCACCAGGTATGTCCTAAGCCCAACTCCCTGGGGAAGGCAGCACCTGCCAGCCCTGCACCAGCAAAGCAACTAAAGGAGGGGAGCTCCTTCAGTCCCCCTCCAAAGGGCTCACACTCCAGACCCTGCTCCTCTTGACTACCAGCTGAACAGAAGGGAAACAGCATTGCAGAAAATAACCGGGTGTCTGTCTTGGCCCTGGACCCAGTAAGGAGGCTGAGTTTTAGATCTGACTGCACAACGGATCCCTGTGTGTGTCTGATTTGTTACATGTGTCCAAGTCTCTGTCCATGATACTGTCATTCCAGATGGAGACTGTACAGCCAAATTCCCCCCCTGCGCGACAGTGGCTGGAGGCCCGGTCCACACAGCCCCGTCACAACAGGCTGTGGCCGTCCTCACGACTGGCTTTTGCTTGTCCCTAAAGGAGGGAAAAGAGGGGGGTGGACTCTTGCAGCTACAGGTAGAATAGAACTGTTAATTAATATTTGACTTTCAAAAGTTGTTAAGGATATATTTTTGTTTGTGTTCTGTTGCAATTTCTGTAGATTATAAACTTTAAATGGCTGTAAACCATGTGAGGAGAAAAAAAAAAAGTTAATAAAAATGCAAAGCCCCAACATTTGCACAAAAGGAGCCCTGTGGCGTTGCTGTTTGCACTAACTGATCACCCTGGCATTACAGCTTCTCTTTCTGTCGTGGAAATCTTGCTAGTTGCACTTCAAGCCAGTGGTATAAGCACAGGCATTGTGCCAGGCAATCTTTTAAGAGACTTCTTATGGTTTGGGCTAAATCCCTGCATTTCAGTACATTCTGGAGGAAAAAACCTGGACTGTCTGGAGCCAGCCTGTTTAATCAGCCCAGAATTACTCAAGCTTAAAATTCAGCTGACTTGCACAGCTTCTGGCCTGAGGACACTGAACAGGCACAGCAACGGACATCAGGCTATCTGGAAACCTCATCTGATAGATCACATGGTGCTGTCTCCCCACTTCTTTCTGTGTGGGAATTGGAGACAATATGCCTCCAAACTGACCACCGTGTCAGCCAAACCACCCTGCTAGTATTGCTCTTCCAGGTAAGTAAGTGCTGTCACCATTCTGGGATGTCAAACTGTGGATGCAAAGGAGGGGAAGTGGGTGGGAGAATCCCTATTAGGTGTGTGCACTGAATCCAAAATCCCAGTGCCTCAAAAAGATGAGGGTGGGTGTTTGCCCTTATGGAGTGGCTCAAGGAAGGTTAAAATCAGTCTAAACTATTCCGAGTATAAAAATTACCCCGAGGTCTGAGAACAAACCTTGGTTAGAAGAGCAAGAGGGCTAATATAAATGCAAATCAAAAAGGGAGCAGCTCCTCCAGCTAGTGAACAGATGTTTCAACTTCAGTACCAGTATTCTGCAGAAATAACACTTCACTTTCCCCAGTGTAACACTGGGGCACTCAGAGGTGGTACAGGGACATGATGGGAAACAGACTGTGTGCTAAGTGAATGCCCAGTTATCTGTCTAACAGTGGTTTATTCTCACAACTCTACTTTCTAGTCTCATCATCAAACTGCTGGAACTAGCGGTGTGAGCCTGTGGCAGTTAAAGCAGTAGCAAGATTACGTGTACTCCCACAGCGAGGTTAAATCAGGCTAGCCAAGCGGCTACAGAGAATTATACTTCTGCAATAACCTCTTTTTTTCCCCTTAAACAGTTTTGTTCGTTTGCCAGTAACCACACAGTTCTAAGGCTAAGGATTCCTTTTTGCTTTTCCCTTTAAGACATGGTAAAGAAATCTGGCTCTCATCTCTGTACTTGAAATAAGACAAGTTGTACAGATGGTGGTTTGTCTTCAGCTGGTATTTTAAGAAAAGCCTGGAACAAACTATTTCTCCACAGGATCTTACCTCTCCCCAACAAGAGTAGCAAGCTGCAAACTCATAACTGTTAAACACTTGCAGCACGTTTAAATACACGGTAACCTAAATCACTGCATTTCTTTTTAAAGATTGTCCTCCTGTCTCTTTTGATGCTAGCAACAGACTTAATCAAAATCAGACCCAAAGGATCGAAAAAGCTCAGAGTCCAGGCTTGTTTCCTGGAAACTGACAGTCAGCTGATCCGTCCTGGAGATACTGCTCACCGCGCCTGGCTCCGTCCTCGCATACTCCTGCAAGTCTGCCTGAAGCAGCACGCCAGGGCTCAGAGCCAAATTATTGTTAGTCATTCAGGAAAAGCAGCCAACACCATCCAGCTTGCACTGATCAGGACTCCAAAGGCAGTGGAAAGGTAAGCCTGACGGTTCTTCTGCCGTGATGCAGGCTCTTAGCAGCAGCACCGGAACAAAAGGGAAACTTGCTCCCAAGGGATCCCACTGTTACCGTAGGTAGTAATCAATCGCGGCGGAGAAAGCGGCAAATCCACCACAGCCGATAACCCCTGCTTTCAAACCAGCTGGAATGCAAAAAGGGTGGGAAAAAATGAGACAAAATAGGAAAGATCTTTTTCTTCCCAGTAACTAGCTTATGCTGTGCTGGCTTGAAGAGCTTACACCTGCAGGAACCTGGTGGTCTGCTACCAGGGTCACGCTAGCACTACCACTGCCCAAGGTGAGGGGGGAACCTGGCACACACTGGACTTACTTAAATTACCACGACTGGACTAGCATGGCACGCTGGCTGGGCGCTGTGTTGCTAAGTCTCCCCTCAAGGGCTGAAAGAGAAAATGCCAGCCACCATTGCTGATTGCAGCGCGCTCTGATCTGAGCGCTGCAGGTGGCTTTGTTGTTGGAAAAGTGGTGGATAGGAAGAGCAGCTGCAGCTTTGAAAGCTCTAAAAGGATTAGGGCCAGGATAGACACAACTTAACAAGCTCAATTAGAAGCACTTTCAAGAGCACTTTCTTTTCTTTTATGCTCTGTGGACAGTTTTTTTTTTCTTAAGGAGAGGTGAGAGTTTGATATTTCTGATGAGCTGAGCAGCTCTCTTCCTACATGGGGTTTTTCTCCAGATATCAGGGCTTCCCAAAGCCCCCACTAGTGCCTGCTGGACTCCAATCCCAGTCAGTGCTCCTGTACTTCTATAGCTAAGTAAAATAGTCTATTTGATTTGATATACAGGAGAAAGGAGAGAAGCATTTTACACACTGTGCAAATTAACAGAGTTACTGCCAGTAAAATAGTATATACAAGTAGAGCTCTGTTAACACAAAAGCTGTAACTTCAGAGTTGCTCAGTATGTATTTTTGGCTCACTCCCCACGACACCACAGAAGAGTGTGGAAAGCTAACACCATTTCCTGATTTTTCTTTCAAGTCATTTCTGTTGATTTCTCTCCAATCTCACTGCCCTGTATGACCAAGCCTTCCCTACCCAGACGTATCTTTCAAGCTGACAGGAAAGCAATAGAGCGAGCAACTCTGCCAGTCTGGAGTACACTCTCATGTTGACATCACCATAACCCCATGCAAAGAGATCTGCAGTGTGTGCTCCCTTAAAAACACCACATACTACCTAACCACATTACAGCCTTATCACAGGAAGAGTTCATAGCAGGCACTACCAACCTCTGAAGCCGATTGCTCCTCCTGTTATGCAGCCGCTAATAACACTATTCTTCCAGTCTGACTTTCCACGATACTGTGGAATTAAAAATCAGAGTCAACAAGTAAATAAGGAATAAATGCTCAATAGCTGTACTAACACCAAGAAAGATCAAATGACCTTCCAGCCCCTTCTTAGCTGAGGATGTTTTTCCCCTCTATCCTCAGCAGATGGCCCCCTGCACTCTCAAACATAAGATTTTGCAGGGCCAGGAGAAGAGGAAGGAACCGGTCACCGGCAGAGGTAAAACAAATCCATATGGTGCATTGCAGTGCTATGGCAGAGGTGCTCAGGTGAGCCGATACAGCCCCCAGAACACAGCACTGTGCACTGGCACCAGCTCAGAGATTTTCAAGGCACTATAACCACATAAGTGCAACACTAAGCCTGGCCATGCAGCCTGGTTCTCGGCACAGGTGAAAGCCTCAGCACTCTGCTGACAAAGATGTACTATTTCCATAGCCAGAGCATGTTAATTTTTCACCAGGGCAGAGATCTCTTTGTTCTGCTTCATTGTGCAAGCAGATAAGCTTTTCTTCTAGATGAGTTAAAGAAATAATTGTGTCTTTCAATTAAAAGGCAATACCGAAATTCACAACAGGCTAATTTTCCTATTTAAGAAAATGGATGATAGATTTACCACTGAGCTGCACAAGGTCATTTCTTGCTATGGGGGCAAGAAGGAAATAGGCTTGTTACTTAAGTACTTTCATCAAAGGATCCCTTTCAGCATATGGAATTTTTAGAGGCTCAAATTACCATGTTGCAACTTGCAGTTTGATGTTTTAAAGTAACAAGTACTTGTAGCTAGGGTTTCAAGAAGTAATGCCTATGTTTGCCAATACGTTCAGGACTTGAACTGAAAAGGACTTTGCTGTTGCATGCTTTTCTGCTCATTCTGTCAGAGAACAGCAGTACTGAAGACACGTCTCAAAACTGAGAAGTTCTGATGGCGAAGAAACAGAACAAACTAGCCTATACCCTCGCCCCATCACAAAAGTGATGTACATACTTATTTGGATCTATTAAAAGAGATTATTAAGTGTGCAAGAAAACATTTGATAACACTTAAAAAGTTATTACTCACAGATTCTACCACACATTCGGTGCATGAGAACATGGCACCCACAATGGCGAAGTTCTTTGCGTAGGATATGCCTCGCTGCCCCATATCTTTGAGGACCTCTTTTGCGGTTGGCGTGCGATATGGATCCTTGGGATCAAACCCAACGTTGGTGTCAATGCCAGCTGTGAAGACACCAAATGCGCCTCCCAGAACAAATCCTGTAAAATACAAAAAAAGTAAAGCAAACCTTGGTTGGATTTGAGCAGCACAATCCCCACCAGCACCAGGGTACTTCCGCTCCCAGTACCTGTCAATGCTGCAGCATGAAAGGGGCAGTGCAAGAGCACACATGGCCTGTCTCTTGATACTACAAGACACTGTTGCTGACATCCCCTTGCTGACAGCCCGTGCTGTGCTGGGGAAAGGCTGTGAGCACCTCTTCCTTCGCAAGGAAGGGAGAGAGACAGCAATCCCTCCCTGGGACCTCCGACAGGTACTGGAGGCGGCTTTGAGAGAGGAAAATTAAACGCGGGTGTCCCTGTGCTGCAGTCTCTTCTTCATCCACCCCTTTACCGACGCCACGGGGACACCCTCCCCCCATCCC